AGCCCGTCTTTCTGAGCGCCTGGCTCTTTTGTACACAACAGATACTGTCTTTGTGAATTAAAGCTGTTTGTGCTGAGGTGAGACGAAGGGAGTGACCGAGAGTGTTTGAAACTTGAAGCTTGACTTCAACTGTGTCACCTGTTCACTTTTAATTACGTATTCCTGCACTTTAGTCACTCTAATCCCCCCCCCCACCTTTTAATTGGTTGTAGTAATAATAGCAACTATCACCTCTCATACTTTATCTTTGTTTCTTTTAAGTTTTTTATTTCTTTCTCCACCTTTTACTTCTTAACTGAGCCGTTCTAAAAGACACGGAGAGGGGTGGGCCACTCTGGAAATATTTGGCTCAATATTAATTACTGGCTTTCCTGCATTTTTTTTTCCTTTTTTGGCAATTAGGAGTTCCACAAAGGGCTGAATCTTTACAGGACAAATCAGGCATTCATTCGCAGGGGATCCTTAGCAACTTGCCAGGATACAAGGGAAAGAAAGAGAGCAAGGTGGCTGGAGGGGTGAAAGGGAGGATCCTACTGTGACAAATGATTATGAACATTTATTGATTTCATTAGCATTCATTATTGTGGAGAGGAAACTGGGGCTTGTTTGCACCCTCACTGTGTTTGGGATCAGATAGTTGAGTAGGAGGCTAATAGAGAGCTGCGTCTGTCAGTGGGAGGCTAATTGGCATAAACATTTGATTGTAATATTAATGATAATTTAGGACTCGTTTGACCACAGAGACAGAGGAGTGGGAGGTCGCTTTTAGCCACCCCTCACTCAGTGTTTTGGGGTTGGCGTACACAGTGGGAGGGTGAGGTAATCCTGGGTGAGGGGGTGTCTGGTCTGGGGCTTTGTTTGGTTGATGAAAAAGGTGAGGAGTTTGTGCCACTAGGCAAGACTTTTTATTTTACTGTAGCCTGTCCTGCTTCACTCATTCTCTCTCCTCTTCATTTGTCTTTTTCAGTCCTCTCCTAGCAGAATGTTGGGAATAATCCTATAATGTAAAGCGGTACTAATAGTGATTCTAAAATTACTTATACTTTCAGAGAACACAATACATTTTCACTTTAAGGGTCTGACCAGTGAAACAAAAAGAGTTCAAAGACTAAAATGTGGTGTTTTTATGTTGTGTTTTCTATTTCCTCTGTCAGCCACTCACACAGTCACTCTGTGGGTTTGATGAATTTTCACTTCTCAGAATTAGCACCAATGTCTGGGTCAGCACAGAGCAGGAAAAGGGTGCACAAATATGGAGCAGTTTTTGGCAGAAGAGATTTCATGGCTGTTTCGTGCTACATCACTCATTAGTGTTTTGTTTGGCTCCAGCATTGCATAAGGTAAATTTGAAACAAGGTGGTTTTTGGAGTGGGCGTATTGATTTTAACAATTCATCCAAAGTCTGCGTGCCTGCATACACAGACACACAGACTTCAATCCACATCACAATTTTCCAGTCCCTTAATAATTACCGTGAAAACAGTTGACTCTCTGTCGGTCTCCCTGTGTGTGTTTCTAGACTGATTTCTGCTTGTTTAAACTCTCCTGTCATTTATTTCTACACCAGTTAAAGTTTTCACATGAAAGGGCTGAAGCCTAATGAAATGTAATAAGAGGAAACCTCACGCTGGCACGACATCTATTAACACTGTGCAGTGTTCTTCCCACCCCTTGCCAATGTGAGGACATGTATTTTGCAGTTTCCTATGGTTGTGGCTTTTTAAAATTTGTTTCTGCCAAATTTGGTGTACAGTAAATTAAAAAAACTACAAGTTAAATCCTATACACTGATGCTTTCAGTTTGCTTTTCAATGGTCATATGCACACTCAGCAGCCTCTCTCCCCTATAACACACACAGAGGATATACAGCGTGTCTGTCAGCGGGGTGGCCATTCAACCAGGAGGCCCCAACAAAACCACCACTTAGCCTAGTGCTGGGCCGGCACAAAGAGCCCAGGTCACAGGTCACTTGGAAGGCTGGAGATCCCCACACCGTCTTCTCATGCTTTTTTTTCTCTTTCTCTCCCCTTTTCTCTCTTCTTGGAATCGCCTGCTTCCACCCACCCCCACCCTTCTCCTCCTCTTGTTCCCTCATTCCTTCTCACCCCTTTCTTACAGGTTTTCTGGGCCCATTGTCTGAACGGCCTCTTCCACTCTGTCATCCTCTTCTGGTTCCCCCTTCAAGCCTTCCAGCATGGTAAGTAGCTCCCAGAGTCCTCTGTGGCTCTCACTGGACTCGGTGGATGAGGAGGGAGGACAGTCAAACACACATACCTTGTCTTAATTAGTTCTCTCTTCAGCTGCCCTGTCATGAATTACAAGCATGTGTAGGCTCTGGCAAGAGCGACTGCACTAACAAGCGTATATTCATGTTTGCGCTAGTTCGTGTGCACTGACCTGCTGAAATGCTTTTACACACTTATTCACACTTCATTTTTTTGTAAACAGATTGCTCAAATACAAACCTTGATCCAGTTTAGATTGTGATGTTTTTGTCCAAATAAACAAATATCAGTCTGTTTGTGTGGTCAGTTAAATTCCAGTTTAATTCACTGTGCGTTTAAATGTCCATATAAGTGTATTTTGCATATTTGTGCACATCAAGATGCAAAGTTTTTAGGTGTGCGTACAGAGAGAATGGGGATCTTTGAGCTGGTAAGTCTTGGCTGGCCAGAGCTGAGGACCACACAAGCTTGGGCCTGCTCTCCAAACAAAGGCGCCAAGCCCCTTCACTGTGACTGACAGGCTGTCAGCAAAGCCTCAGCGCACACAGGTCATGTGACCAGCCGGAAGTAAAGGGAAAGGGAGCCTCTCTTTCTTTACTGGCGGTCGCACAGTGCTGATGTTTTAGCTTCAGCTCATCCCAAGTCCATGTCAGCAGTTTGTAGAAATCTACTTGTAAGGTTTACAGTTAATCTCAGTTTTATTGATTTAATTTCTTCTAACCTCTGCTTTAGGAAAAGTATTTTAAAGAGGTTGGATTCTGATTTAGTGACAGGATAAACCATTTTGTCAGAAAAACAGTGGTGTTCTTTCTGTTTCAGCTGTGAATAATTAAGAACATTTACTTTCTTACCATGGTTAAGGCACACCAATTCTCTCTTTTGGTCTTACTGATTTTCATAGAAACACTCAAATAGTTGTGAAAGACAACATTAACATTCCAGGCTCTCTCTCAAAGGGCAGTACTGGAAGCAGCATTTGCCTGAGGTTTTCACTTTATGTCCCTATGGCCTTTCTTACATAGAAAAATGTCTAACAGAGCATTTAACACCAAAGTTCACACTGAATTATACTTAATGCTGTCTGGTTGTTTACTCTTTGGCTGAGCTAATGGAGCTCTGTGTGTTACCCAAGAGATAAAAAGACAGCTTTGGCCCTGAAAGCTCGTGTTGATTCCCTTCACAGATACAGTTTTTGGCAATGGAAGAACTGCAGACTATCTTCTCTTAGGCAACATGGTTTACACAGTAAGTGCACCAGTCTTTTTGACAGGTAGTGTGTTTCTGCTGTGTTAAGAGTTCAGGTGTTTGAGCCAAGTATTATCCATTTTCTATGAATAAACATCTGTTCTACTTCCTTTTCTTGTGCCTGTCTATTGATCCTTACTGTATGTAAAACAAAAATATGTTCTTTGTGAAAATTCAGATATGTGTGGTGGACTTACCATGACTGATTTTAGCACTGGATGGGGATAGTCTTGGTTTAATATTAGAGTGGTTTGTGTCTCCACAGTTTGTGGTCATCACAGTTTGTCTTAAAGCTGGCCTTGAGACCTCATCCTGGACCATGGTAAGTTGATGTCTCTCTCCTCTCTCACTAAGGTTGTGTGATCTCTTCCCAGTTCCTCCATTTTATTTGACCACTGATACTAGTGATGAGTTTTATATCTTCTTGCTATCTCTAAGTCTCCTTATGGTTTGTTCCCACTGTGCTCATAATTGTAAACCCAGTGAAAGGACATGTATGGTATCTCCTTCAACTTATTAAAAGCCAGTCAACGTAAACCTTTAAGCCCCAGATTATGAAGATGACAACAAACAAGTCAGTAAAATGTATAAAACTGTTTTCCCAAGTACAATTTCAGTAGCTGAGTCAAAGTAAAGCTCAAAGTTGTAGTATATATGAAGAGCCTTAACACTTTTTGTTTCCTTACTGTTGTCTGATTTTCCACTAACAGTTCAGTCACATTGCCATCTGGGGAAGCATTGGCTTATGGGTGGTGTTTTTCATTATCTACTCCTCCCTGTGGCCCCTCATCTCTCTGGCTCCGGACATGTCAGGCGAGGTAAACACACTCACCTACTCTCTCTCTCGCTCTCTCTCTCACACACACACACACACACACAGATACAGATACAGACACTCTTTGTCTCACAGGAAAAACCTCATCCAGTACAAAAAAATCCCCTGCTGATATAATTGTCTGTCCCTGATAGACCTGCCGTGCCTTGTAATTCATTTTCTACAGAGAGATGCTGGTGGGAAAATTCACAGTTAAATGTGACACAGGTCTTTGTAAAGAGAGCCAGAGGAGTATAAACCCTCAGACCTCTGGTTTGTGTTGCATAATGACTTAATTGGGCCAATTAGCCCAGTGTTTGTGTTACATTGCCCTCCATCGGCTCTGAGTATCCACAGGTGACACTGAAACAGTGAAGCAGTCTGGAAGCTAAGCAAAGAGAGGTGAGAGTGTATCTGATATCCTTCAAATGTACCCACAACAGTCACCAGGAACAGAAATTCAGTTTAATATGCCCTTTAAAGTTCATTAAATGTTGAGTAGATAGACTGATTTTACACCGTTTTTGAGTTATTTACATGTGAATGCAGTTTTTGTCTTTATGGGTCACCACTGCTAATCAATGGGAGCCTGTTTACCACAGGTGACATTTCCCAGTGCATTCTAGGAATGAAAATGGGGCATCTTTTCATTAGAAAACAATAACACAGCAGGATGCTATTAAAAGAAAGAGCCTGGTACTATGCAACCCGGCAGAAAAAGAACAGACCTACCCCTTACTGTTAGTGCTCTGTGTTTCTTTGCTACAATTCTGCAAACACATACATTCATTATTAGTCCTAAAACGTGATTCGAATACATAAAGGTTACATTAAGGTAGGAAAAACCTAGCCTAACTCTGTTGAAAAGCAACTAGCACATTTAAAGCTCATTAATTAACTCTTTTTACCCTGCTTGTTTCATCTGTACAAACATCTGAGTGTAAAAATGACTCCATTATAAAATGTCAAAATATCTTCTTTATACTTTGCTCTTGTAAATAAATAAAAAACGAGATATAACTTGTTATATAAATGTTGAACTATTCCTTTAAGGATTTCACTTTTTAGTAAAATATTTTTAATTTTTGATCAATTCTTCTGGTTGGATGATTGTAAAACTATATGTTTTATGATGAAAAGCCATTTGTAGAACTTGGTTATTTAAAATAAATGTAAGGTGGATGTTATGTTGTGTGACAAATATTTCACGACTAAGGAGATTAAAACTCCAGCATCATTTGCAGTATAAGGCACAACTTCATTTCAAGAGGGCAGCAGTATTTTTTTATCGACTACAGTAGGTGCTTGTATATGCAGGGCACAATAAATCACACAACTTGACTACAAGATGATGATTTTGCTCCCTCTCACTTGGTTGTACACACAAACATAGAGAGGGTATGGGTTAGCTTCATTCTATACCTTGTCTGTGAAGCCTGGTGCTTTCATCCACACCCTGCAGCACTTGACTGAAGACGGTAATGGCGTCCTGTGGGCGGTAACCCTATGCCCCTGTCCCAGCTCAGAGATGCTAGTACATCATCAAACAGGGATACATCTCTCTGAAACCTGAGAAAGCATCAGAGACACAATCTCCTCTTCCAAGACCTTGTAACTCTGAAGAGTAGGATTATTCTCAACCCTGATACGATACAGCCCCACTTGCAGTATTTAACTACAATGTCCTCTACATATACATACATCTTCAAATATTTTCTTTGTGTTCTACTTTGTGTTTTCTTTGAAGCCTTCTTTTTTACTTGTTGCGTCAGCTTTCTTCTCTCTGTTCTCATTTTGTTAACCTGCCCCCCCACCCCAAAAAAACTGCCCAAGGGCCAGCAACATAACAGACACCAGAACTCCCTTCTCCTCCTGTTTCTGCTCCCACTCACTATCTAGCTCACCGCTTTTAACAGGAGATAGTAAGCAGCACTCTGCTTCATGTGAATGCATTCATCAATGTCAGTTGAGATAATCTTTGGGTGATTTGACAGGACAGGTGCAGGATCCATATGCAAAACGCACTAAAAGTAGCTGGTATGCTTTTTTTCAGGTTTGCCCAAACTGGCTCAGTCCCAAGCCACATATCTCATCTAGTTTTCACCACATAAAAGTCTGACATACTGTAGATTCCAAAGGAAAATGTCAGAGTATTGTGTTAAAGCTGTGTAATCTGCCACACTAAGCAGCTTAGCTTCACCTCAGGTGGTGTCTCGTGTCAACTGGGTCACACTGGCCTGCTGTCTGCTGACTTCGCCTCTGCTGTCAGTGCAGCTGGGTCACTACAGTTTATCTCTTCTCTCTCTCCTTGCTTTTCACACACACCTTTGCCATTTTTCAAGTACTTGTCATCAGCACATGGATTTTACAATTGGCAAATGTGCATTTGATTGTCCCACGGTTTCTGTTCAGTGATTAGAAACCTTTTCTCAGAAGGAAAAGATGTTTGTTGATTTGTAGTGTGCCAGGAATATACTCAGGGCTATTAATGCCAGCCTGCAACATGAGGTCAGAAACAGAAGAAAAAACAATTTCTAAAGCAGCAGATGAAATTAGTTATTATTTTTTTTATTTACAGGCATTGTGTGGCTGTCGGCTGCTCATGACATTTGGCGAGTTTGTGGATTTGCTTTATCCAAACAAGTCTGCCTTTTTCTCTTTTAAGTTACTTTCTTTGGCATTTTTACTTTGATCTGCTTTTTCTTTCACTGAACTGATTCTTTCATAAAGCTTGTTTGCTATCTGTTTATCCATAACAAATTTTAACTTTATAGTCAGAAGACAGGTTTTGACAAATGGAGCCCATTTAGCTAAATGTATAGCATAATTTTCAGTCTCCCTCCTCTCCTTGAAGCCAGTGTGTGCAGTGTTGCCTGGTTAAGGCAGCTGAGTTTAGCCAATAGGAGAATCGGAATGATAGATGCAGACCAAAGTAAAGTCTGAGACAGCATTCATCTTACTCTCCTCCCAGTCTGTGTATTAAAAAGTAGCACAAAGGAGCTCTGTGCATTCAGGAAGTTGGTGTCTGAATATTAACATCTCTGGGATGCTGTACAGCTGGTTGATTGTTGTGAATTTGGCATTTCTTGGTCTTGTTTTCTGAATCTGGTGCATACTGCAGAACCATGTGGTGTATAGTGAAGAGGTGCATTACCTCAGCTCACATTTATCATTAAAATGGCAGGCGTTACCATAATTCAACAAGCTTTTTTAAGGGATGATCAGTCAGGTACCAGATTCCCCTGATCAAGTCCTCCTGGAAAAAGAAACATAAAATACTTTGCAGGTCTGGTAACTATTCTCCCAAAGCTTTCTCCCAAACCTAAAGGATTTATATCTCTCACTAAAGCCGTATCTTTGATGTTCTGAGTTTCCATCCATCCTTTATCTATACTGCTTATCCTGAAGAGGGTCACGGGGAGCTGGAGCCAACCACAGCTGACACTGGGCGAGAGGCGGGGTACACCCTGGACAGGTTGCCGGTCTGTCACAGGGCTGACACTTAGAGACAGACAACCACACAGACCCACACTCACTCCTATGGGCAATATAGAGTCGCCAGTCAACCTCAGCTGCATGTCTCTGGACTATGGGAGGAAACCGGAGTCCCCAAAGAGAACCCATGCCATTACAGGGATAACATGCAAACTCTGCACAAAGGGCCCCGGGTCGGCCCGGGCTCGAACTCAAAGCCTTCTTGCTGTGATGTGACAGCTCTAACCACTGCATCGCTGTGCCACCCATGTTCTGTATTTTTAAATCTTTATTTAAACTGGACAGATTGGCTGAGCATGAAGGGTTTTATCCCCAGGAACTGCCCACAGATACTTTACCTTGAAGCTGCTGAGAACAACCACAGTCTGGGCTGTTAACCACTGAGCTGCTCCACTGCTCCAGCTGGTTAAGCACCTTGCTCCAGGGATCTTCTCCACGCACATTTGACCAGGAATGGAACGAGTGATTTCCAGTCAGAAACTAACCTTTTTCTACTTTTTTAAAAAAGATTATTTTTGCCTCTGTTTGGTAGTTAACAGTTCAGAAATGGACAGGAATGGTGGGGGGAGAGAGAGAGAGGGGCATGACACGCAACAAATGTCCATCGCTGGAGTCTATCTGTGGAAGTTGTGTTATATGGTATGTGTGTTAACCCCAGAAATCCACACGACAGCTTCTTTCAGTCTAGTCTTGCGTCTATTCTGTATGTGTGGCCATGAGGCGGATCAGTGGCCTATCAAAACACACTCGTCCATGCCAGCGGCCACTACTGTCTGTCCAGCCAGACAAGTTTATTAGTTTGTACAGCCCCGCTTCCCCAGACCTCTTTCACCCCGTTCAGCTCCCAGGGGCCCCCTGGTATGAGACATCGCTATCATCCACTGATCCAGCTGACCCCCACTTGTGGACAGGGAGTTTTTCCAGATGCCTGAAGACAAACATTTGTTGATTATAATTGGCCAGATTTGTTTGGATTTGGAAACTTTGACATCAAATTAGAGAACTAACAGTGAAATAATGTGATTTGTTTACAGCAGGTTAATTACCATCATATAGATTCTGTAGAGTTTTCACATTTTTACTTAATGTTATTGCTAGTATTACTGAATTCCTTGATAAACATGAGATTTAAATTATCACTCCTTTCTGTAGTGTACATTATTTGTGGCTCAAAATTGTGAAAGACTGGTGGTTTATTTTTTCAAATTCTTTCGACTTTGACTTAATATGTACTGTATCACTGGTTTATTTTCAAAATATTCTCAAGACAGCTTAAACACCCCCATTAAAATGCATGATACACTGGAGGAAAATGAAAATAGTTCATTGGACTTGTGACAAAAAAAAACAGTAAATGTTTCCACAAGGGCTGCATACTTTTGAAATTGACATGAAAATATCTCATGCTTCAATGCATTCTCCCTCGTCACATTCATTTTCAGCCCCCCAGGCACCACAGAAAACCTCTATTCATTCGTGTCCCATCTTAAACTGTATGAAAATGTCATTTTTGATTTCCTGTCATGTAGGATTTCCACTTCCCCAGTGTTTTGTCTGACATCAAAGTCACTTTGGAGGTAATGGCTAACAGATTAGCTAATTTGAACCAGCCTGAACACTTTGATAGTTTGACACTGATCTGTGTATGTGTGTGTGCATGCATCCTAAGGGTCCTGCCTGTGTCACATTACAGGAAAGACACTGTCAAAGGGCCCCTGCAGTTTAAACAAGTGGCGCATTACAATTCAGGGTGCGCAGGTTTTGCACTTTGACATGTAATGACAGATTGTTTCAGTGCACCAGGCCAAAGCAAACATCATGCGCACAGAAAGCTGAAAGCTTTCACCCTCACCAGGGCAATACACTGTCTCCCCACCACGCTAGACCCAAACAACCTCATGACATGGCCACAGCTTTGTGATTTGTAATTTAGATCATCACAGACAGTTGTCTGCTGCTAATGAATAGTATTTTTCCAACCAAGAAGTAGTTTCTTGAGATGCCTGCTGTGATTTAAATCTGAATTGCATCATATCCAAACGTGTGTTTCTTCCAGAATGAAACATTTTTCTCAGTTACGATCACAGCTGTATTTGTAGATTTTGCATAGTGGCTCAGTGTGAATTTTATTACTTTACTGTATTAAAAATAAACCACCTGCTCATTGTTTATAATTGACAGGAGTTATCTGACAGCAAAGAAAATCTCTGTCTGTGAACTTTTATTCAACTTGGCTGACAATAAGCATATGTTGCAGACAAAAATAAGATTTTTTCAAAATCAAGAATATGGGAATATTTTTGTCTTTAGTCTGATGTGCCCTAGCAGGATAATTACAGGGTAGTGATGTTAGTGAAGTTTTGGATTATAGGTTTTTCTTCTATTAATTTGCATTTGAAGGTTTCATTTTAGCAGTAATTTTGAGGTGGTACAGTTAACAGATGTTTTCATTATCAGTCATCTGTCAGTTATTCTCTCGATGAATCGTTTAGTCTATAAAATAAGAGCCAATAGTGAGTGAGATTCTACAATCATGCTAGCAGCTCTGTGGGGATGTACTGCAGTATGCTGCTGTACTTTAAGCTTTCTCTGAACCATCTAAAATCACTGGCAAAGACAAATGGCTCATGGTTTTTAGAGTTGTTTCTGATGCTTATTATGTTAATTATGTTAATGATCTCTACAAACAGTCAATCAAAGTGGGACTTAGATGTGTTAAGCTTAAACTCTGATAATTACAGCTCTTGTGCTTCGCTGACACCCTCTTACACCGAGTGGCTGTTGTATCGAAGGTATTATTAAAAGCAATTCAGATGACAGTCCTGTGTCTCCTGGTGATGTAGCGACAGGCGCTCTCAGCACAGCACACAGCCGAGCTGCTTCCCTCTGAAAAGAGATACCACTGTGTAAACACACCACAGGTACACTGCTTCCTCCACCCTCAAGGGCAGAGAGGTGGAGACATCCAAACAAAAACATGGTATCGTTTAGTCACTGAGGATTAACTAACTTTGAGCAAGTTATTTGGGCTTCTTTTGTCATGTATGTGTCTTATTATACAGCACTACAGAGGATGATAATGGTCGTTCTTTATCAGGTGTTTCTTCTTTTTATCTGAGTGGTAGTTGAACTCTACATGGTCTACAATGACCTGCCAGTAAGTGTATCTGTGTGTGTGTGTGACAGGCGACCATGATGTTCAGTTCAGGGGTCTTCTGGATGGGCCTGTTCTTCATCCCAGTCACCTCGCTGGTCTTTGACGTGGCCTACAAAGTGTGAGTCTTCTCTCCTCTTTCCTTGCTCTTCATCACTCCAGTACAGGAAATTCCTCCAGAATCTCTCAGATCTCCTGAAGAAATTCCTGCCTGAGTTTTTGTTCAGGCTTCAAGGAAGTCCAGCATGTTAATTTTGTGAATACTGTATGGGGAATGTTTGTTTCTGCCCTGGGTTTGTTTGACATCAGCCCATAGTAGATTCAAGGTGTCAGGAGCAATTTGCAAATGTATTTCCTGATGTTTTCAAAGTGGTTTGAATTGCTCAGTGGGGTATTTTAATATCGGTCTATAAAAGGTCCTTCATATCAAAGCATCTGATGCTTGATTTATAAAATACTGTTTATCTTACAGAGTGAAGAAGGCATACTTTAAGACCCTGGTGGATGAGGTGCAGGAACTTGAGGCTGCATCCAAAGACCCTGGAGCAGCGGTGCATGGAAAGAGGTACGGTTACACACCACTTCATCATTCCTGTCTTTATTTTACTTTGATTTATGTAATTTTACTAACCTTAGGTTTTGGCACTAAGTAAATCAAAAACAAGTTGTTTCATAAACAAGTAGGTGAAAGTATGTTGTCCTAATGAAAATGAAGCCATAAGAGCGAATGTATCATCTAAAGACATCGGTTGTGTTGGAGAATTCAAATAACAGTTTTCTTAAAATATCAGTTTGTTTTTGATTCCTGTTTTCTGTTATGTATTGACACATTTAAAGTGCAGTGTAGATTTATACTGAAGACCCACTGTGTAAATAAGCAGCTACATCTTTCTCCAGCAATATGCATGTAATTATTCCAAGGTGCACTTTATTTTCCTTTGTACGTTTACATTTATATTGTCTCACTATCTATAACATCACATGGCCCAACACTGGCAGGGCCAGAGTCAGTGTCTTGGCTTTTATTTTTTGGTACACAAAGTAGAATCATCCATAAATCTATCATCCAAATAACTCAGAATTTCAAAAATACTCACAGATTCCAACAGTATTTCTTATGTGGAACGGAGAAATCTTGAAAATTGCTGCTAAATTGCAGGAGTTTAACTGTAATGTCACTAATCCCCTTTTTTCTCCCAAATAATGAGTGTCTCCTGTTAGAGCAGCCGTCCTCTAATATTAAAGCCATCTATTATAAAAAGCGTATTAGCTCAAGCAGGTCTGCGCTGCTCTCTGGGGTCTGAGGCCTGCAGCAGGCAGTGTGAGATCTCCTGCTGGCTGAAAGTGATCCTTCGGCCTGGCAGCCATCCCGGACCCAGCAGGCTGCAAGCACGCGCATGCAGAAACAAACATGTAGAGATACAAACACATGGATACATGGCTGGTTTTTGCATATATGCTTTTAGGAGGACCCCTGTATGCACACAAAGACGCGCATACACATAGAGGACACTTATACACATGAGTTAGCTTTACCGTACACAAATGCCTTTTGGCCAGCTTGCTGTTTCAGGTATTTCACCTCACACAAACACACTTTGTTCTTTTTCCAGAGCCTTGTCTATCTATGTGGTGTTCATCTTAGCTGGTAGAGCAGTTGGCATATCTGTCAACTCTGGAGGCGCTTGGACAAAACCTTGACGTCATGGGTAAATTAATCTGCCTGTGGTGCTCAGCATGCTACTAACACACCATCTGTTTGTGTGTGTGTGTGTGTGTGTGTGCGCGCAGTTTGACGGAGAGGGCCCAGCTCCTGAAGAACGTCTTCAAGAAGAGCACGGTCAGTTTGTACCGGTCTGACTCTATGCAGCAGAACCTGCGCCGTGAGTTACAGTGTTTCTTTCTTTCTCTTGCTCCCTAACTTCTCTCTCACTCCCTTTCTTTATAAACTTGCCTCAAGATGGAGGCACCGCCTACTGTAGATTTATCAGTTTAACAATCTGCTTCTTCGTCAGGGAAACAGATCACGCGTCATTATTCCTCCTCTGACACATGCTGTATCTCCAGAGTAGCTCACCCTTCATCCCAGGGAGGCAGTAACACTCTGCTCCTCTTCATAAATACTCTGCTTTAACCAGATGCAGGAAACACATGTCAGTAGTTGTGTCGGCAAACAGCCCACAGTTCCTAACCTAACACTAGGTCTACCCAAAACAACTGCTATTGCTAATCCACTATTTTTTAGTCATCTGAAAGGTATAAAGGTTTGTAAAGTATCTAAAGTTGGCAGCGAAGGAGTTGTCAGTCTCTTAGTCTGGTTTATCAAGATTTAGGTAACAATTTTGTTAATTTTCCACTATTTTATGTTTTACATTCATTTTCAGTTTTTAACATACGACTGTTTGGAGTAGGACGACATAAAATACTAAAATACCTAAAACTCTGTTTGGGCAGGATGTGGGTCATAAAAGTATTTCCCATCCTTTCCCGGAATAAAACTTATCATTCTTGATCCCTGACACTCAGAAAAAGTAAAACTAGTTCTATGGTATGTACAGAAAACCTGAGATACACTTCTGAAATGCAAAGTGCCTTTTTGGATTGGGCTTAAATTACTGGAGGACCGATAAGATTTCCACAAAGAGTAGGTAACTAGGGCTGTAATTATTACTGGGGGGTGTGAAAAATTAAGACATATTTACTCTGGACAAGATTAAAACTGATGGTGATATTGAAATAAATAAATCTTGTTCAAATGGGCTTTAGAATTAAAATGTCTATAGTAAGACACTGACCAAGTCTAACATTTGTGTAAGTAACTTTACTTGATCTGTTTGTTTGCTGTTTATTTTTCTATGTCCTGTTTTGTCTTATCAGTTTTTTGTTTTGTTTTTTTTTTTGTTTGTCTCATAGGTGGGGATGAGACCTTTGTCATGTGATACCTTTTTAATTTCATTATTCAAACCTCACCTTGTTTAAAACTACAGCCCCCTTTAGCTCTCTTATAGATGCCTCTGTCCCCGTCTGCTTCTAACGTTGACTTCCTGTTCTTGCACTTGTGTGCCTGCTGTGTCCTGAGTTGAGTTCAGTAGATAATGATGAAATGTTGGGCTGTTATTCCCCCACAATGCGCTCGCCTCAGCGGGGTCCTTTGAACTTGCCCGCTGGCCTCCAGGTACTGACCAATCATTTGACACCTGAAGGTGAGTCAGGGGTCAGAGGTCAGAAAGCAACCCTGTAGGAAAGTTTAGGTAGTAGATCATAGGGCTGCTTTGATACTGTAGAGGACATTTTGGGGGAGCTGTGATTATGTTTTATTTAACTTCTTTTTGTGTATCATTTTATTTGAATCTATTTTAAAGGAACTGATGTGCTTTCTTGGGGTGCTTCACATTGGAAGAGCAGTGTCACTCATGTATGTGCACTAAATATGGAACTACAGCCTAGCCAGTTTGTACCTCTCGTGTATTAGCATTATTGTTACACTGATGGCACAGAACTAAGTGTCCATTTGTGAGGAAAAAAATCCATACACTGTTAGATAAAAACAACTTATTTTCCATTTGATTCATAATCCAAACATAGATACTAGTGGTTGCTACCTGGCCAGGAAACAGTGTGGCAACTTTGGAAATGGGTTAAACATCTTTTTGATTGTGCAGCGGACAGATTTATTTTCACCCAGATGGTTAAGAAGAGTCTGGATGGTGACCGTGTGTTTTTAAACGTTGGATAGTTATCATTCAGACGAGAGGATGTTGTGACCATGATTCGAATGTAACTGAAGCGCAAAGTAGGGCTAGCTAAAGCTAGCAGATGCTTAGCTTAGCATAAAGACTGGAAACAAGTGTAAACAGCTACTGTAGTCTAGTTTTCTCAGAGACTAAGAAGTCTGTTTAAGTTCACCAATTAACATGTTACGTCTCATTTGATTCATACAAAAACCCAGTTGTATAAACAGCAGTTTTTGGCTGTTTCCCCATTTTAAGTCTTGATGCTAAGCTAAGCTGACGAGCTGGTGACAGTTCCCTTATATTTAATGCAAACAGACAGAGTGGTATTGATCTTCTGGTCCAACTCTCAGCAAGAACCCGAACATATTTCCCAAAATTTTGAGCTATTGCTTTAAGTTTTGTTTTTAATTGTTTATTCAGTTGTTTTATGTGTGTTTCTTTATCCATTTGAAGTTGTTTTTCTTACATTAATCAGTGTGACCTTAGTTTTAACTGTGTCAAACCTTTTTTCAGATGGGTATGCCTTCTCTCAAGATGAAAATGGTGTGGTGTCTCAGTCTGAGGTCATCAGAGCATATGACACCACCAAACAGAGGACCAACGAGTGGTGAGCTGCCGGCCAGCCCGGAGCCGCTTCAGCCCTTTCTAAAGGCGACATTTAAAGCCGAGATGCAAATATGTGCCCAAGCACTGAGGGGGATTCCTGATGCGAGTATGAAACGGATAGAGCAAAGTGACATTTGTAGTCTTTGAAAAAGGAAAAAAAAAAACAAGGAACAAAACAAAACAAGTTCACAATCAGTTGTAGTTGTATGTCCAGCACACATGATGAGCACCGTGCTTTCTTAGCAGTCTGTGGTCTGAAGTTCTTCACTGTTGTCACTCGGTTTGTCCGGGTGAACGTCACCTATCTACTGGTTTAAAGAAAGGCAGTATTAACAAAAACCATCGTATCAAATTAAAGTCAAGCTCAAACACTGTTCTTATAAAAGTTAAAACACTGGATGACAATTTGTTTTAGAGGATCTGAAATTGTGAAAAATTGCCAAAGAGCGGTCATTTATACAACCATCCAGGAGTAATCACACTCCTGGGTGTGCTCCAGCACTACATGGACCACTTCAGAGCAGACATTTGCAATGTTTTAATTTTCTTTTTACACCTAAGGAAGCATGTGCTGTGTGATGCCTTATATCGGCATTGTTTCTTTTAAAATGTTTTTTTTTTTTTACTTAGCTTAATTTTGAAGTATATTGTGCCTGGTTTTATTTATTTTTTACCTTATTTTATGAAGCTGCTTCCTGCAACATACAGTAGTCCTGTTTCAACCATTTTCTTCATGGAAGCATTCCACACTTCACTCCTGTCTCAACATTCACAATGGTGCCTAGGTAGAAGTAAAAGACGGCCAAGAATATTTTACCCAGTTAGCTTAGACCAGTACTCCACAAACACATACTGAAGACAATTTGCTGTCTCCCCAACCACAGTCTTGCACTCATTCTGTGTTAAAACTACAGAGTGCCTTGTGGCACATGTAAAAATGAAGAATTGTTCCTGTCGAGGAGAAGAGGAGGCTCTCTCATGGTCGTGTTGATGCTTAAGGTGATGATGGTATTTCCCTTAAAATGGAGATTTAACCTTCTAACATAAGTGCCATTAGCTTAAGGAAGGGGGAGAGAAATATTAGCCAGGAAAACTTCACGACAGTATCAAAGCTACTTTGTCTCTATAGTTATTTTGTGGATTTGTATTTTTATATTGGAGATGTATGAATTTTGCATTGACTGGCTTTGTAATGAATTGTCTGTAACCTTTTGTTTTTCGTTCTCATAACCTGGCAGGAGAGAATAGATCGAATAAGGAAACTGAGCTGTGTTAAATGTCATGTTCTTATTAATATTAATATTGTTGCAGCTTGATTTACTTATAATTGACTATTTACTGTCTGTGTGATTGCTTTTTCTCCCTATGGGAGATCACATTTCTGACGGTGTATGAGTATGTGTGTTGGTTTATTACCTGCATGTGCATGTGTTGTATGTGTGTGAGTGTGTGTCTCCTCTGCTGTGGATAATGTCTACGTACTGTACGCACTGCATGTCTGTGTCCTCTATGTGAGACTGGGAGTTCAGTCCTGGTGTACTTTGTTGATTGTGTGTGTGTGTGTATGCGTGTGTGTTGACGCTTGCTCCAGTTGTCTGTCTGCATGACCCCAGGTACTACTACTGCAATGTGCTGATGCATGGCCCGTATGGGATAGTGTGTGTGTGTTGGTGTCTGGTATGACTGTGTGTGCGCTTGTGGTCAAACTCTCGGTCTTGACTGTGGAAGTTTTGGATGCCCAGCTCGCTTCAACTAGAGATGTTGCACAATGCACTCAATGTACCTTCTCAGTAGTGGTTATCTGGTCTTATCTTCTTTCACTAAAGGATTTCTCTTGAGTGTACATGTCTGTATCTTGCTTTCTTCATGCACTGTACCTCTGATTTACAGGGAGGCTCTTCTGTGTTTCTCGGTTTGGTGAGGGTTCGTGATGATTTTTTTTCTTTGCTGGTCGTCTGTGTTACAAATATTTGGTTGTCATCATGTCGTTATTGTGGAAGGCTCAGACTTTAGCTTTCTTTTTTCGGAAAACATGAAACGCGTTGTTTGTGAAAGCCGTGAGCTGCATGGATGGGAAACACACACTGTTCTCTGAAGTGTTAACTGTACTACTTCGAATCTTCCTCAAGTGTTGATCACTTTACAAAAGAGAAAATACACACCTTTAACTTTTCTTTACAGTATTCATTTCTTTTCTGTTGTTTTGTTCAGTGATTGTTCTGCATGTTGGGACTGCGAAATTATAAGTGTTGTCTTACTGCCATGAAGGACTACTGAATAAACTTCACAGTAATGAAGGATAAATGTGAACATTGTTGCTAATTCTTCTGTTTTCACATTTGTAATCACTATCATCTTGTGGCTGTGGGTCGACAAACAGGACAGAGAAGTTAAACAGGAAAAGTTAGAATGAAACATCAGACTGTGAGCAGAATGTATTGCTGAGATGTTTAGATGACCGCCTACTCATGTTGATTGTCTGAAATCCCAGACAGACCGTAATCTGTTCCTATAAGAGATGATTAAAAGTGACCCAGTTGGACTTTAATTTCATGTTCATAAGATTATATTTTCTAATAAATCAATGAAAAGGGATTTTTTTTTCAGGAGCAAATCAGAAGACAATATATTGTTTTGACCTTTCATAATTCATCTAGAAAGCAAAAATACCAAATTTCCAGTTGTTCCAGCTTTTCAAGTGTGAGGATTTTATGTTTTTCTCCTTTTTTATAATAACATAAATTAGATATCTTTGAGTTTTATGCTATGGGCCAGAGAAAACAAGACAAGTGTGATTTAATAATACAGAGAACACTCGCTGAGCAGAAATACAGAAGAGCAGCTGCTTGTTTACTGCTTCATCCTTCTTGCTCCAACTCCCTGAAATATCTGAAGCCAATGCAATTGCAAAAAAAAAAGGTCTTCTTTTGCAGACACAGTTATGGTCAGCGCTAAACTTAGTGACAAATACTTTGTTTCCTGTGACTGCTTCAGAATAAAAGCCTGTTTTTCACCAGGTCACTGCTTTTACTGTAAAGCAGCAGCAGTAGAAATGTTCAGCTTGTATTAACAGAAACCTAATTTACTTCTGACACATCTGAACGCTGATGAAATACCAACAGTAACACTAAATTACATGCACACTTTGTTTCCCATGAATTCCTCATGTGTAGGTGAGTGTTTGAATCCAACACAGTAATGGTGGGCCCAGCCACTAACAATACAACCTGCTGTATAAACTGGGAATTACAGGATCCAATTACACTCAATGGATATTGTTGGAAAAAAAATTCTGGCCCAAAATAGGGTTTGCTTTCATGACTATAACTTTAATGTGTAATGAATGTTGTTACTACAGTGATTTAAATATAAGAGCGATGTCGCTATGAGGGAAAAAACAACGCTGACTTTTGATTAAAACTATTCAATAGAATAAAGTAACTGCCTTCAGTACTAATGATAATTTATAAAAGAAAGTGGCAAATTTTCCAAGGCCTGGCAAAGACTAATTTTAGGAATTGATTCAGGAATTGTCATGAAAACTGGACAAACTGTGCTCTTCTGTTCTGGATTATGACACGGAAGTCTGAACCGACAGCTGCAAGTATGAACAAGACCCGAGGAAATTAACACTGGAACCTGACAAATACTAATCATGGAGGTTGTATTTGGTGACAGTGAGAGGATGATAACCAGCCTTAGGGGAGCCCTGAGTGTAGCAGAAAACATCCTCAGAATGAGCAGTTTGCAGGTTTCATGAGACACGGCTTGCCAAGTCTATTTCACGGTCAGATAACCAGAAAACAGACCAGTCTTTGTTGAGGTTTAGCCATACCTGTTGGTGCAACCTAAACCTCTGTTTCTGGGGTGAGTTGTTTTTACCACTGTGACCATGCC